CCCTGCCCTGGCCCCCGAGAAGCACAGAACTTGGGGACGTGGCCGGAGACGGGCTCCACTCCAGCCCTGCGAGGATGGGAGAGCCAGGCCACCCCGTACGGGCTCCCCGAGGAGGTGACCCTGTGTTCGGCCCCAGCTGTTTGCCTCTGTCCCACCTGCGGGGGACAGCCCTGCCCCTACCTCCCGGGAGATGCTGTGAGGCTGAGTGAATGTCCCTAAAGCACTTTCGGTTCGCCAGTGAAAGGCAACGCTGCTGCTCGCCTGCCAGCCAGCCACCGTGCCCACCCCTCCAACCCCATCCCCGTTAGGAGCTTCCAGGGAGTTACTGATGATTCCTGAAAACAAAGGTGTCCCCAGCAGCCTGGACAGTCGGGTACGAAGGAGCCGGCGGCGACTGCAGCCTACCCCTGGTTCTCTCCCTGTGAAGTTCCTGCTGTAGCCTGCGGAAAGCTGAGATCCAGAGGGACCCAAAAGCCGTAGCTCTGCTTTTCACTGTGCTCGGAAAGCCCAGCGATGACCTGGTCTGAAAACTGTAACCATGGCGCTCCGGGTTCCCAGCGCGCTGCTGTACATAGAAATATGCAGGAAAGTTGCAACCCAAATGGACCTTACGCTGGAGTGACAACCCACCCCGATCTATGCAATCCAGGGGGAGCAGCTCGCCCGCCACGTTTGCTGTCTGCGTTTTACTGTGGTGCTCACGCTGTCTGTATGGCCAGGAGCGGTGGTCACAGCAGAAAAAAAACAAAAACCAACACAACACTTAGCTCTGTGTGGACGATTCCCTTCCCGTCCCCTGGCTCGGAGTCCTCTGCTGTGGCCCGTGTTCCCTCCCAGCCCTTGGAAGGAGGCAGGTTGGTTTGTGCACCTGGGAATCCACACGCACAAGCACACATATCTGACGTCTTGGCCATAAGCAGTGCCTGGATTTCAGGAGGATTTTTTGCCCAGCGCACTCCACCAGTGCTCAGGACGGGGTCCTGGCAATGGGAACCGGCCGACGGGTAACACACAGCTGAAATGCTTCTGCTTCCCAGAGCTGGAGCCTCGGGCGAGGGCAGGAAACCTGCACAGAGGGAGCGGGGCGGCACAGAGCCGTACGCCTGCGTCTGGAGGGTCCACTTCTCATGCCGTGGGCAGTACTGACCCGCAGTGCTACTGCTGTGCTCGTGCCGCAGAGGACAGGCGTGTGAGGGAGCCCCTGGGTACGGATTCATCTGCTCAGGACATCTCCTCTCCACTCCAGGGAAGGAGGAGAGTGGAGAGAGGGCACCAGGACAAGAAGAGCGAGCTTCTATGGAAGGCTGGGGGTAGAGACAACTGAAAGGTCTTACAGTGGTGGTGGGAGACATGACTCAGACAGCATCTGAGGGAAGGAAGGCTCCCAGCAATGGCTTTGACAGGGAGATGGTCCCACAGCCCAGGGGACACCCGCCGCCTGAACCCCACGTCCCACAGGACAGGAGCCTGCGCTGGCTGGGCCCCGTGGGCAGCAGGAGGGACACAGCTCCCACAGCGTCGCAGTGCCAAGCAGCCCGTGGTCAGCCCAGCTCCAGCCCTCCCCCTGCTCATCTCACTGTGCTCTTCCCCAGGCCGCCTTGCCGGTCACTCCCAGCCCGGTCACAGCAGAGCAGGGCAGCGTGTCCCCTCCTGCAGCGTGCCCACCAGCCTCAGGAGCGTGGGGAGCCGGGAGCAGCTGGCTGCGGCCACGCTCCCGCCTGCAGGAGCCACTTGGGCCTGGTGGGCGCTTCCCCCAAGCCTGTGCTCGAGCCAGCAGTGGCTGCTCCCGTCACCCCTCCACCAGTGGAGTCCTAATACACTCTTGTACTTGGCACTTTAACCCCTTGAAAGCCATTCCTTCTAATAACAATAATACTGCAACCAGCTGCGTAAGAACACAATCCCTCTATTGCATCTCCCTTCCCCTCCAGAAACCCTCCCTGCTCCTGTGCTATCCAAAGCATTTACTGCCTCTGACTTAGCATATGCTGTACTAGGTAGTAGGGCATAGTCCATAGCGCTCAATAACGTGTGCCCCTCTGTAAATAACCTTGGAGTGATGTGAAGAGTTTGATTCAAAAAAAAACAACAAAAAAACCCATAAAAATGGAATAAACAGACTCTAGGGACTTGGCCAGTACCCCTCCTGTAATGTTCATTGTATATTTTTTTGATGTACTATAACTGTTGGGAAAAAAAAAAAAGGAAAATATTTTGATAATGGAATCTCATCGCTTTATTGTGTTACTCAGTAAATAAAAGGAACAAATATAAACAAGCCAGGGCTGTCTCGTCATTTTTTTTTCCCCAGATCCGCATCGGCTGAAGGGAACACATGTTGCTGGGCAGGACCGGGACACCTTTCCCTTGTCTTCTGGTGGTTCTGAGAGGAGAGCCAGCACGGTGACAGATGGGCAGCCAGAGCTGCCACAGCCCTAAGCATCGGGGTATGCAGGCTAAGCACCGTCCCAGCTTCTCTATGGTCATGACTGAGTCTGCGCTCAGGAAGAGGAGGGCTGCAGTGTGGTGGATGTGAGCACCCTGCCCTTGACAACAGCATCTTGCCCTGCTCTGCGCTATGCATTCACTGCAGCAGGATGACTGAATATTCCTGCACATAAAGGAGCAGTGGGCACAGCCAGGTAAGGGGCAATCTGCTGGGGAACACTGCGGCAGCGCAGAGCCAGGTGGGGTAGGATAAAGGAGAGCTGCTCTGACAGCAGCTGGGCTGGAGACAGGGCCAGCAAATGGACTCTTCTCACATAGTATCAGTAAATACAAAACGGAGCAGCTCAAGAGAGAGGGAACGGTTTCCCCTGGCCTGGCTGTGCTCAGCCACGGAGCTGATCCCCACCTGCTGGCCAGCCCCGTGCTGTGCCTCCCCTCCAGCACCCTAAGGCCCTCGCATCTGCCAGCCGGCGCCGAGAGCAGAGGGGCAGCACTCGGTGAATCCTGGCTTTCCTGTAGCACCTCCAACATCTGCAGGGGTTGGGCAGTGAAAAGAGCGGTCTCTGTCCCAGTGCAGTGAGATGGCTCAGCGCTCTCATCCTCAGAGACCATCCCCAGCCCTGGGACACCTGTTCCTCATGCCACCGTGTTTCCCGCAGGCTCCGCAACACCAAACAGGCTCAGCAGGAGGTATGTGCAAGGGAAGTAGGGAGGTGAGTGAGAGGAATTGGCAAGGGAAGGGAAGGGAAAACGAGGCTCAGCCATCCATGGATCCGCTGCCCTTGTTCTTGCGACTCAGAGGAAAGGCAGACTTGCTTTGTGGCTGTGTCATCTTGCTGGCCAGGTAGATGAATGGCTCGATCAGTGTATGCCGGTCAGCCACGGACACCTCCCACAGCTTCACCTTCTCGCCCTTGGCCCAGTGCTGGGCTGCATCATGGTCCACCCGGCGCTGCTCCTGCAGGTCACACTTGTTGCCCAAAACCACAATGGTGACCTGTTCAAAAAAAGAAAGGGTGAGAAGAATCCCTGGAGGTACCAAATGCAGAGCTGAATGGTGCTGCCTGGCTTTGCCTTGAAGGCCCTTGGGTGCCAGGCCCACTCCTGCAGCTAATTCCCACTCCGTTCTGAGGCCTTTTAAAACATCACATTTCCCAGTGCTCCCTTCTGGCAGCTTCCCCTCCTGTTTGGGTCTGTGTGTCTCAAACCAGCCCCAAAGTGGGAGGGCCTGTTGAGCACTTCTACACTCAGAAAGCATCCCTGGACAGTAGCCAGTTACAACTGAGAGTCTTACGGAACAGGGACCTCTATCACCGTCTTGTGACAATCTAGGGAAAGGAGAGTCTCTGGGCGAGAACTTGAACAAGGGGAGCAGATCCCACTCTGCAGCCCCTTTCTCCTGCGGTACTCACCTCTTTCTTGTCTTTGGACTTGTCAATCTCCTTCTTGAGGAGCTCCACTCGCTTGAAGGACTCCTTGCTGTCAGTGCTATAGACCAGCACATAGCCATCCGTGCAGGAGAAGCAGTGCTTGGGAAGCTCCAGGCCGTCCCGCAGGCCTCGTGTGTCGTAGAAGCGCACTTGCTCACGCACCCCTCGGTCTGTCTCAATGGAGCCCACGTAAATGTCCTCCTGGGTCTCGATCATCTCGGAGCCTGCCAGAGAGGTGGGCAGGGGCAACACGGGGACCCTGGCCAGGCAGCTGGCCCTGGCACAACCCGGAGAACGGTCCTGCCAGGTAACCTGGGGCAGGAC